GCAAAAAGATTTATATTTATGCCCATCCAGTCCTTAAAGTGATATTTCTCTCCCCCTTTCCTTTTTTGAGTAATCCACAAATACAACACAACAAAACAGTGTTCTGTAGGGATCCACCGCTGCACACCAGGTCCTGTGCCATCATCTTCATCTGTTAGGGCCCCTTCACACTAATCTGTTTTTGATGCATTTTATGGATAGAAAAAGAGGAATAAATATGCATGAAATATTTATCACTTTAAATCCTATGGAACTCTTCGCACCAGTATGCTGTGGGTTTGGTGCATTTTTAAAAGTCTTGCATGCTGCATCTTTGGTGCACTTTGTAAAAACACACCAAATATACACCTCCCATTGATTTATATATATATATAAAAAAAAGCATCAAAACACATCTGCAGTGAGACTTGTGAGTCACACATCCAAGTTTCACAGGTGCATGACTGGCATCAGGAGTCCAGAAAATGCAGCAAAAACACTGACTTCTGCGTAAGAGAGAGCAGTACTACTGTATGTAAGATACAAAGAAAGCAAACAGTATGTACACAATTAATTATATACAGCAAAGTAGTATATACATATGATAAACAAAAACAGTAATTGGGCTTACATAAGGAAACGGCAGCCAGCGACATCTAGTCTGAGGGGCAAACAACAAACCAGGGAGCCTGATAACATCTATCCTATGAAAGGAAGCACAAGATGCCACTAGGAAACAGTATAATTATAATATGGGTCTAAGTGTACTCGTTACCAGATGCTTAAACCAAATATATGGACTAATACTCTCACAATGATCATAAAAAGTGCCCATGTATAGCTGAAATAATGAAGGTTCAGAATATACAAGCAAGTGGCATGATAGTGTGGTCGCTCACTGTGCCTAAAAAATCCGCTAGTTTGGTTGTACAATCTTTTGTCCGGCAGCTTTTTCAACATCCAAAAATAATTCCCCATATATGGTGATCAAAAAATAAAAAGCAATTTGCTATTCTGAGAAAGGAGGCAGGCAGGGATGAGAGATCATGGAAAGTTGTTGGAGAGTGTGAATGTCCTCTTTAAATTAACAGATATTTTCACTGTGGGTTTTTTTAATGAATGCAATACTGCATTTTTTTTTTAATCTGCCATATCCCATATGTATTTTATATACTTATATATTAAATGTTTTGTGATGTATATGAAAACTACAATTACTACTGGGACTACTATATAATCCATGATCTATTTTCACTGGTGACTTTTATTAGTTCCCATACTTCTAAATCATGCTCCTTTAGGCATTTCAAACTGGAATGGGCGCAATATTTTTAGGCAGTGGATTGCAACCAGTGCAGGCAGTCATTAGTACAGTTTTGGATATGGCTGAAGTTGAACAAAATGTATATTTTTGGCTTTAGATAGAATATGAAAGGGTTAGTTTTATTCATGTGTCTCCACTGGGGGGATTCACCGACTCTTTTTATCCTAATGACCATTGCTATTGATACAGGAATAGGAAATCTAAATTATTCATTTGTCACTGGGCCAGGAGGTGAGGGAAAATCTTTCAATTGTTCCAGTCTAAGACACAATATCGTCTCACTTCAGGGGGATTTCTTGTCACCTTTTGTAATTTTTCTGGGACAATAGGTGAAAGTGATAAGTGAAATCTCCCCAGCTAAAAACAAGCAAGTAAGAAATTGTAGCACTACCCTCTTGATAGCTTCTTGTTTTTGGTCCCGCTTTACTTCCTGCACAGCCAGGCAACATGCATTTTGCAGACACAAGAAACAGTCCATGGACTTGGTTTTTTGTAGTTTTTTGGGAATTTAACTTTTATAAAGTAAGGAGATTATGGGATGCCCAATTTGATTGAAGAACAACAACATGAGGACAATTTCCTTCTCCAGCATATGGCAAAAATGACAGATCTTTTGACTGCGTACCAGCCGGAACCATGACAGTCTTTAGCAAAGTGGCAGCTTGCAGGAGCTTGGAGTCCCTTTGATTTAATTTTTTTAGCAAAGTCCCAACTTGTAGGAGCTATAGTCCCCTAAGTGAACAAAATACCAGCCCACCTGGCTACGGTATCTGATTCCAGGACAAGGGATTTGGTAGGCTATAAACTGTCCTCTGAAGACTTCCCAAGAACTTGCATCCAGTAGATTTCTCCCTTAGAGGCCCTGGGGGTGTAGATGTACTCACACTGTTCTTGTCTTCCAGCTGTAGATAGAACTGCTTTCAGGCCTTCCTCTGGGCTGGATCCTCTCCAAGCTATGCAGGTTGTCCTTCCCCCGGTGGACTTCAGGGTAGTGCAGATCCCTCCTTCAGCTTTCCTCCGAGCTCCAGCCTGGAGGCATAACCCCTCTTCTCCGGGGGCCCCCTACCAGGCTACACAGAAACATTCCTCAACATTCCATTTTCCACCCAACTTTCTTTCTGGCCAGGCTCCATCATATATATGGGCTAGTCTGCCACACTGCAAGGCCTCCTGCCTGGGATTGGTCAGACTCCCATAAATATGCAGATCAGCCCCTCCTCAGCTCAGCCTACTTACTTCTAGAAGCTTTTAAAGCAGGGGGAGATGCCAGAGGACTGCCCTGTAGAGCTCTCCAGCTTAAGAAGTAACCCTCTGTCTAAACCAAGAGAACCCCCTCATCACAGACTGGCTCATCAGTGCATCTCTTACATCAGAGTCCCCTCATTGAAGACAGCCTAATCAATGTTCCCTTCATTTATCCACTGCCATCAGTTTTCTCCTCATTTGTCCTCTGCAATCAAAAAGAAATTTATTCTCCAAACACAGAAAGGTTTCTTCACAGTGAGAGGTGTGAAAATGTGGAATAGATTCCCTGGATTCTTTCTTGGATACACTGAATATAACTGGTTACTAACATTTATAGATCCAGGTAATATCTGATTGCCTCTTGGGGGATCAGGAAGGAATTTTCTTCTGCCCCCTGCAGGAGCAAATTGCATCATGCTTTGCTGGGGATTTTTGCCTTCCTCTGGAGCAACTTTTTTTTTTTTAATAGTTGAACTGGATGGACTTTTGTCTTTTTTCAGCCAGACTAACTATGTAACTATATAGTTCACTCCTCATTTGTCACCCACCATCATTTTCCCCTCATCTGTCCCCTACAATCTGTACACTACTAATCTGTCCCCTGCCATCAATATACACTTACCATCAGTGCCCTCAACATCAGTTTCCCCCTTGTCTACCCCCCGCCATCAGCTTCATCCTCAACTGTGCCCACCATTCTGTCCTCCTCATCAATGACAGCCATTCTGTCCTCATCAGTGCCCATCATTCTGTGCCCATATCACTTTCCACTATTTTGGTACCCACATCTCTGTCCCCATCTGTGTCCCCCTTCTCACACACCGTCACTCTGCTACCAGCATCTCTGCCCCCATCTGTATCCCCCTTTTCACATACCAGCATCTCTGCCCCATTTGTATCCCGCTTTTCGCATACCAGCATCTCTGCCCCCATCTGTGTCCCCCTCCTTACATACCAGTATATCTGCCCCCATCTTTTTCCCCTTCTTTACATACCAGCATATGTGTCCCCATCTGAGTCCCCTGACGTTCTGTTTCCTGCTGACAGTGCTCTTTCAAAATCAGACACCTACCCATGACAGCAGCATCCCAGCCGGCATCCAACATGAAGAGGAAAAGTCTGGCTGTAGAGTTGCAGAGCACCACTCTGCATTCCTTCCCACTTCCTGTCACATGAGTTGCTTGCAGAGCAGTGCAGTACATTTTGCCAGTGTTCCAGTGCTTTGCACCAGACATCACAAATGCATTTGGTGTGAACAAGACATATAGGAAACAATAGTTTCCTGTGTGTCTTGCAGAGACCTGCGGTTTTCTACTGCATACTGTGGGTCTCTGCAGATGGTGTGAATGAGCCCTTACAGACATTTGCAAACAGGAAGGTAAGAATGTTTATTGTAGGAGACATACGTATGTCTCTTCTGCTACAAAAAGGGCATTCCTGCTAGCAAATCATTTGATTTTAGGGCAAAGTTAGGTAATACAAAACACCTGGTTAGCTGGGCCCCCATGCCTGAGCTCATTCCTAATAGAGAACAATCAAATAACAGATAATCAATGGGAGGTTATAAAAGCTAGGCCAGGTATAATTAACATAATCAATTTGTATGAGGAGGTAAGTTTAAATCTGGAAATGCCAAAGATGGGATAATTTGAATTTACCTAATGCATTGAATAATGTTTCTTATAATCATCAGATAGAGTTATATTTAGTAAAAACACAAACAGCAACCATTTGACTCAGAATGTGGCAAAATGAACAGTTGTCCATGCAGTTTTGTTTTTCCATCCTCTGCACCAAAACAACAGAAGTTGTAAGTGGTTTTTAACCACTTGCCTACCAGGCACTTATACCCCCTTATTTACCAGGCCAATTTTCAGCTTTCAGCGCTTGCCGCACTTTGATTGACAATTGCGCGGTCATGCAACATTGTACCCATATGAAATTTTGATCATTTTTTTCTCACAAATAGAGATTTCTTTTGGTGGTATTTAATTGCCACTGGGCGCTTTACTTTTTGCGCTATAAAAATAAAAAAAGTGCAAAAAATTTGAAAAAAAAAAAAAAGTTTCTTTGTTTCTATTATAAAATTTTTCAAACAGGTAATTTTTCTCCTTCACTGATGTGCGTTGATGAGGCAGCACTGATGGGCACTGATAGGCGGCACTGATGGGCACTGATAGGCAGCACTAAAGGGCACTGATAGGCAGTACTAATGAGGTGGCACGGATAGGCGGCACTGATAGACAGCACTAATGAGGTGTCACGGATAGGCGGCACTAATATGCAGCACTGATAGGTGACACTGATGATGGGTACTGATAGACGGCACTGACTGGCATCACTGCTGGGCACTGACTGACGGCACTGACTGGCACAACCGCTGGGCACTGACTGGTGGCACTGACTGGCAGCACTGCTGGGCTGCACTGGTGGGTGGCACTGGTGGGCACATGTGGGTGGGCACAGGTGGGTGGCACTGCTGGGCACAGGTAGGTGGCACTCCTGGGCACAGGTGTGTGACACTGCAGAGTGGCACAGGTGGGTGCACTGCTGGGCACAGGTGGGTGATCTGCTGGGCACAGGTGGGCGGAGCTAGTGGGCGCACTGCTGGGCACAGGTGGGCAGAACTTGCGGGTGGCACTGCTGGGCACCGATCATCAGGGCACTGATCATCAGTGCCCTGATGATCGGTGCCGATCCCCGCTCTGACAACTGCCGGTTCTCGGCAGTACTTTCCTCACGATCTGACAGCGTGAGGAAAGTGCAGCCGAGAACCGGCACTTGCATTTCCCTCTAATCAGCGTGTCATTGGACACCGCTGATCATGTGGTAAAAGGCCGCTGTGATTGGCCTTTTACCACATCACGTGATCAGCTGTGTCCGTAGGACACAGCGATCACGGAGATCGCCGGGTGCGCACCCCCTGGGGCGCGCAGGAGAGCGCGTTCTGGGAGGACGTCATATGACGTCCACTCAGAACTGGCTGGACACAGTGCAGCTGTCATTCGGCTATCTGCGGTCGGCAACTAGTTAACATTATTAAAGTGCATGTGTCCTATTGTCTCTGTAAGAAAATGTACCCTCATTGCTTGTTCTGGTGTACCTTTTAACCATATCACTGTGTACAATTTTTCCACATTAGATGTGTTTTTTTTAAATCGTAAATAATCATTTATAAATTATAGCCCTTATACTGTATCAGTCATAATGAAGGCAGAGTTAAAAGCTTGAAATTATTTTAACAGATACAATTTACACTTTGGTAGTAAGTAAGGCATATGCAGACTGGTCAATAATTCAATATTTAGGAAAGCAGTTTATCAGGCTGCAGTCAGAATGCTTGATACTGCAGCTTCAAGGGATACATATGAAATATATTGCTTTCCATATTTTATCTGTAATATAAATTAAATGTATGGATACAAAGGTGTAATTATCCTAACCATTTGGAGCATTTATCATTATAAAAGCCACATGATATATTTATGAAAATTATTTTAAACGCAATCTTGTTGTCACTCTGTCCTCATTGTCATTTTCATTGGGCTAACATAGAAACTAAGGAAAACATTATTTTATCCCCTTTAATACTTTGTCACAAAATAATATATAACCTTTTAATTATCATTGAATAAATATGTTAATACTAGATTTGAAAATAAATTAAAAGCTGAAGTAATTTGTTTTTTGATACCCAGATTTGATTTCTATCTCGCTAACACCTGGCCGCTGTCAAGGTCCTACCTTTCCTCAGACCTTGTGCTGCTCCCTGTGCTGGCATCCATCTTAGGTGATTGCAAAGCATTGTGGGATCCTTTATGCTTTCAGCCCTCTGTGGCTCCTCCCCAGGAGGTGGCAGCTTATCACATATAAGTCTGCTGTTTGTGGCTGTCCATTGCATTCGTGTCTTGTCTGTTGCACAACAGCAAACTCCTGTTTAGCTACTCATTGCTTTCCTGGATACCAACTCGGCTTTGGCTAAGACTCCTCCTGGCTTCTGACCCCGGCTCTGGCGACCATTCTTCTTGGCGACCATTCTTCTTCCTGATCCCGGCTCTGGCGACGATTCTTCCTGGCTGTTGACCCCAGCTTTGGCCACAATTTCCGCTGTTGGACTTGCATAGACTCTTGTCTTATTTTTATATTAATAAACCTACCTTTAATTGCACCTCCTTGTGTGTCTGACTCCTCGCTCCCTGACAGTACACGAATGCCATGAATCCTGACGGTGCAGGCATGCCCCCGCTCCCTATGTTGGTTGCCAGACTTGATCAGCAGGATCTCTTGTTGGATCAGTTCGCTCACACGTTGCAGACGCTGCTTGCATGCACAGCGCACTTTGCCCCTGGTGCTATTAGGCCGGTTGTCACTCCTGTGGTCGCTCCCATTGTTGCTCCGGTTGTTGCGCCTACCTCTGCATCTGCTGCTGCACCTGCGGTGCCCAGAGGTATGACTGGTTCAGCCCCCTTTTCACAGCGCTTTGGGGGTGAACCGAGTCAGTGTCGGGGTTTCCTTAACCAAGTGGGCATATATTTTGAATTGATACCCCACGCTTTTCCTACTGAGAGGTCAAAGGTGGGCTTCCTAATCTCGCTGCTCTCGGACAAGGCCTTGGCCTGGGCAAAACCCTTATGGGAGAATGATAACCTCGTGATTCACGAGTTTGCCGGTTTTGTTGCCTTTTTCCGTACGGTATTTGATGTGCCTGCTCGCTCCGCCTCTGCTGCTAAGCTGCTCATGTCCATGCATCAGGGGTTCATGAACCGTTGCCGAGTACGCCATAGAATTTCGTACCCTGGCGGCAGAGGTGGGTTGGAACAATGAGGCTCTGGTGGCTGCTTTCTCTCATGGTCTCTCAGATGCGTTGAACGATGAGATTGCAGCCAAAGAACTGCCTATGGAGCTCGAAGCACTCATTTCCTTCCTAATCCTGATTGACACCAGGCTCAGGGAGAGGCCTTCACTTAAGGAAATAATAATATAATAGTGTAGCGCTTGATAACATATAAAAACAACTAAAATAAATTAATTTAGGTACATAAACCTAGTGACAACTCACATAGTGTCTAAAAAAATTAAGTGCTCTAAACAAGTGTAACTTAACTCATGAGTGAAAAACCTCATAAAACAATATTAGTGTTGTAATAACCATTCAGCATAATATTTGTGGTAGTGCCACTCCTAATCAATAATACATGTGATCGTGCCAAATCACTAAAGTAAATGTATTGTCCAATATCCAAAAAACAAATATAAAACAGTGAAGTCCAAGTGATGCTTAAATACACATGCAATGTGTTAACATGGTGTCACACTCGTGAAAAAAATCCACTCTTCCACTTTGGCTGCAATGCCTCTCTCACCTCCTTCCTACGACCCCTAGGGGCCAACAAGCCTTTAGGATCAACTTGGATCCTCAGCACTCTGGATGGTACCTCTCAGGTTATCCTTCTGTTTGTCCTCCTCCACACCTTTCCGCCTCACGGAGACTCTACTCCAATCCTCTGTAAATCCTCACTCTCACAATGGTGAGTTCAAGAAAAGAAATCCTCCATAGTGTAGTAGTTAAATACCAGCATTCTTATTTATAGAATAGAAAGTCACTCACATTGTGTGCAGAGCGTTTTGCTTCTCCCTGCATGGGTAAACTGCACTCATGTAAGGCTCTAGGAAAATGGCGTCCCGTACCGGAAGTACGTCACTCGGGACTCCGGAAAACTGCGTCTCTGCGTGCCTACGCGTTACGTCACGTACCTCGTGACTTCATTGGGGTACCGCTAGAGAGACTCAGATCTCTTTTATACCCTAGTGGGAGGTGTTATGCACCTCCCTTCCATTAACATGTATATGGCCGCCGCCATTTCTTCTGAGCCTGCTCCCAGGGATTTCTATTAAGCAAACACAGCCTAGTGCTTAATCATGCAATAATTTATATACGATTAAATTAATCCATATCTTTCCACATTAGGCTATCTGTCTTAACTATGTTGATATAAATATATATTTGGTAACCTCTTTAATTAATAACATAAAATAGATAAGAAAAATACATTAAAAACTTTTTATTACAGAATAGTAAGAATTCATATTCAAAAATCAATGTTCATAATTCTGATAAAAATTAACTTATTGAATAATTGATTGATTTATTTCCCTATACCCCCTGTCTACAAGTATGACTAAATATAGTCAGATACCAACTCATATTACTTCCCATGAGTATACACATATACCCATATGCGCAAATCAAATGGTAATATAAAATAACATATAAAAAATAATAAATAAAATAAAAAGATAAAAATAAAAAATAAAAAATATATAACTTATATGCTTGCAGTTTACCCATACATCCACATCTTAAAAACGGATCTACAATATAATAGCTCAGCTTCCAAAGTTATATTAAATATAAATAAAAGTTAAAAAAAGTTAAAAATCACTAATAAAACAGTTGAGGTCAAATTCAACATTTAAACTCTTGGGGACAAAGGTTCTCATATCATGTATCCAACGTGACTCTGCTTGACTTAATGATTTGACCTTATTACTACCTCTCCAATGCTTTTTGTATCTCTCTATACCCAAAATTCTTTTTTGCTAGGGTCCCTGTTATGTATATGGAGAAATGTTTAGATACATTATGTTTCGGATACCCTTTTAAATATTTTCTCACATGTTCCCCCAGTCTCTTCCATAGTGGTCTCTTGGTTCTTCTGCCTATATATTGGTAAACGCATTTCGCATTCCAGGCAGTACACCACTCCTATAGTTTTACACGTTATAAAATCTTTAATAGTATATTCCTGTCCAGTAGTGTTAACCTGAGTTGTTTTTCCGTTTCATATTTTTTGTGGCTTTACACGCAAGGCAATTTTTACATGGGAAAAAGCCTATTCATTTAAAAAAGTCAATCTATTTGTACATGGAGGATCTAGCACACTTTTTACCACCCTAGATTTAACCGTGGGTGCTTTGCGATACACAAACCTCGGATGATCTGATATGACTGTAGTCAGCCCCAGGATCCAATTTCAAATATTCCAATGTTCTTTTTGAAAAAATAGATTCTATTTTTTTATGTTGGATATTAAAATCCAATACTATAGGAACCTCTTCATTATTAATACCTTCTTTATTTTTATTCTTTATCCTTCAGTCAATCAGGATATAGAAAAATTGAAGGTTCCGATTATAAAGAAAAATATAGGCCTAGAAACAGGGATCAAGAGGTTATCCAACCAAAGGAGAGGATATAGTAATTAGGCCAGCGGATAAAGGGGGTGGGATCGTGGTATTATCGAAAAGATTATTACTTGAAAGAACTCTCCACTCAGCTTAATGATGAATCTACATACCAAGTGTTAAGAAAGGATCCTACTTTGATGTATAAAAAGGAATTAGAAAAATTGGTTTTAATGAAAGGTATGGAAAAGAAGATTCTTAATAAGAAAGAATCTAAATATACTTAGTCCCTGACCTATGTAGGGTACCTGTAATTTATACAGTCCCAAAAATTCACAAAATTAATGAAAAACCACCTGGC